TTCAGGCTGTTGTTGAGAGCATGGAAGCCGAGACGCTGACGGTGGATGGTTGATAATCCAAATTGTTGATATCTCAATCACACGCGTACAACGGACGAGCTTGTCGCTGACAGTCCTCTGCCTATGCAACGTCCCCTGCCGACTGACTGCGCCGGGCTCCCGGCCCCGGTAGTCCGGTAAACAAGCGACGAAAAACGGCCAAAGTTTGCATTTTGTAGTAGAGCAAAACGGTTTGGAGGATATTGTAGTACACATCCAGGGGATACTTTTCCGAAGTGGTGCCCCCCTCGAACCCGCGACTGGGCCGGTGTACGGGGGTTGCATACTCTGCAGGGGCAACACGCAGAAAGCACGTAAAACATGTTTTTTTTCGAGCATGTTTTGGGCGGGTTGGTTCCAGAAATGATTAAATACAGTATGCGTAAACATGGTTTGCCCCGTTAAGCGGGTTGCCTACGTGTAAGGCGTAAAATATCACAAAAACTGGCTATTAGTCTGAAAATCTTCTTCGTGGCAAACGTGCGTGAATGCGTATGAATAAATGGCTGTAATAGTACAGGTAGATGTGTGTGTGTGTGTGTGTGTGTGTGTCTTCACCCGTCAGGGAAAAGGGGGGGGGGGGTAGAACTCTGGTACGGGCGCACCTTACGGGCTGTGTAGGTCGTTGTTAAGTATTGCCGGTTTGGGGTGCACAGCCACAGGCGGCCGTTGGTCATTTTAAAGAGTTAGTACTCGCCTCGCCTTAACCCCTGCAATGGTTGGCTCGTTGTGGGTTGCATACGCCACAGGGGCAAAATTCTTAAAACAATAATAACACCTTCTTAGGGGGAACTGATATTTGCTACAATAACTTCATTAGTGAAAGAGAAGTATATTACGTACATGACGACTTCAATTGACCAGGTTGCCTACCTCTACGGCGAAGAAATATCGTGAAAAGTAAAGTTTTCGCGGTCTCTGGGAAAATTACATTGTGACACCGTGTTCACTCCACAAGCATGTGTACCTGAAAACGAATGGCTATTCATTAATACCTGTGTCTTATAGCAGCAACTATAAATAAACAGTACTTTGTCATAAATAACAGAATCTTCTGTCGCTCGCATTATGTTTTTTTTTCGGGGTGTTCTGGGCAATCAGAATGACTTTTTCTCGGCACACAATCTCACACACTCACACATACACAAGAACGTATTCCGGGTGTGCGGCTATAAAAGTAAATCGATGTGGTTTATACATTTTTTCAGAAACTTGTTTACGCCTTAGAAGTAGGCAACCCGCTATAATCGCCCAGAATACGTTTAAATATAATGTAAGTTCCATTGCAAGAACCGTTGGGATCGTTAAGGGCCTGAAAAGTAATTGTTACGCGTTTTATTGCAATTTTGCCCCTGCGTAGTATGCAACTAGCTCGTCGCGGGTGGTACAATTGTAAAATAGAGGTGTGCAACAGCTCTTGATAGTACTCTGTGGGTGCGTACAACAAAACCACTAGACGGATTCGCCAGAGTGTGAATTGATTACACCTAAAAAGTACAACCTACGGCAGGTTTAGGGTCGTTTTGGCACGAGTGCCCCTCCCCCCCCCCCTTCCCCACTTACTCACACACCTACCTCCACTATAACAAATCCCCACAAGCACTTATGCGCACTGTAGCACGCATATTTGCCGCAAAGAACACTTTTTTAAAATGATAGCCAGTTTTTGTAATTTTTACGCCTTACAGGTAGGCAACCCGCATAATAGGGCAAACCATGTTTATGCATACTGTATTACTCATTTCTGGAACCATTCCACCCAAAGCATGCTCGAAAAAATCATGTTTTACGTGCTTTCTGCGTGTTGCCCCTGCCGAGTATGCAACCCCCGTACACCGGCCCAGTCGCGGGTTCGAGGTGGGCACCACTTCGAAAAAGTATCCCCTGGGTATGTACTACAAAACCCTCCAAACCGTTTTGCTCTACTACAAAATGCAATGTTGAATCGCTTGTTTACCGGACTACGGCGGCGGCGAGCGAGCTCACGCGAGCGCTCTCTCTCGCACAACGACTACCCGTCTCTCT